AATACGCGAACCATTCTCCTCATGTTAAACATAATAAAATTCTTATTGCGGTATTTGTTACGTGATTGTATTTTTGAAGAATAAAAATATATGGATTCCATAAGTGTTAGAGTAGGTGATGAAAAGTATGCCTTAAATTATATATATTTAATTTCACTTCACTTTATATAAGAAGCAAATATTGCATAATATCTTGTTTGCAAAATGTTAAACGTTCGAATATTAATAAATTATAGCGGACATTGCCGGGTTACTAAAAGTGCGTGCAATTATATATGTGAAGAACTAATTCCTAGAAAAAACACACATGCCAAAAGTTTTTCTAAGATATCAGCAGTTCAAGAAAAAACCGTAGCAAACGACAGGAAAAATACTGCCCTTATAAAAACAATTCAGATTTATCGCTGGCAGCCTGGGAAAACACCTCAACTTCAAACTTACCATATAGATCTACAGAAATGTGGAGTAATGGTTCTTGATGCCCTAATCAAAATTAAAAATGAAATGGATCAAACATTGACTTTCAGACGTTCCTGCCGAGAAGGAATCTGTGGTTCATGTGCTATGAACATTGCGGGTATTAATTCATTGGCGTGTACCAGTAAAATTGATAGAAATCCTTCACGAATATTAAAAATATATCCATTGCCACATATGTATGTGGTTCGGGATCTTGTTCCAGATTTAGGACACTTTTATGCTCAATACCGTTCAATTAAACCATGGCTTCAACGTAAGGATACTATTAAAGGCTCAATAGGAAAAGAGCAGTATTTACAACACATTGATGATCGCAAAAAATTAGATGGGCTTTATGAATGCATCCTCTGCGCTTGTTGTACGTCGTCATGCCCGTCTTACTGGTGGAATGGAGATAGATATTTGGGACCAGCGGTTTTAATGCAGGTCTATCGATGGATTGTAGACTCTCGAGATAATGTTACTGAAGAACGCTTAAAGCAGATAAAAGACCCATATAGTATTTATCGTTGCCACACTATTTTGAATTGCACAAATACCTGCCCAAAAGGGCTTAATCCTGGTAAAGCCATTATTAAATTAAAGCAATTATTGTGTGGTTTGAAATCCAAGCCAACTGCTCTGCTTGACACAATTAAGCTTCAGAAGTAGATAATCATTAATGAAAAAAAGCCCATGTCATTTTTTCTATCCTACATGAAGCCATAGATACTGACTCCCGGGTATTTTTGATAAATAATAAGAACTATATGATTTGATTAGTAATCTATGTTTGAATATGATTTATGTTGTTATTTTTTAACCTGAAAATAAATTATTTTAAAAATCTCTGTACGTTAGCAAATTGCTGTTGCCATACATGAAGAAAGACGTTAAATAGGCGTTAAAGAAAACTAATTGAAATAATTTGTTCATAGCGCCAAAAAAAAATTGTTTTAATAAATATGTAAGATAGCGAAGAAGCAAATGTTTGAGATCAAAGTTTTGCTTAACAAGTTTTGTCCGGGATAAACCCCTAAGTTACTCAACCTATAACAGTCAAATATAACAGACTGTGTTTGTTCCAACTTAAAAGATAGAATAGTTTATATCTCAATTATATTAAAAAATAAAACAATTCATAAATAATATAATATATTTCTAAAAACTAAATGGAAAAAGTTCAT